TTTCCTAACCTAGGGTATAAAGAACTTTCTTATAGCGGCTAGTAGGATAAAGTTTCATGCTACGTCTATATCTAATAGTGCGTTTATCTTATATTTATCGAGTCGTATTCTAATATAGTAATACCCTATACTACTATATATTATAGAGTATATCTATTAAATGCCTCTGGCGTGCTCCTTATAATAGTATACTCCTAGTTTTTTACCTATTTAGCTTGGTATTCGAGAGATATCTCTTTATCTAAGAACCTATACTAGATTAAGAGCTGCTTTATCTATTATAGACGCTTATCGAGGGCCTAGAAGCGTAATTCCTAAGCTTCTTTGTCTTATTCTAGTTATCGGATTTTTCTAGTAGTATATACTATATAGCTAGTGGTTTTATATTCGTTTAACCGGTATTCGTAGTAATTATATCTAGGTGGTTAGAGGCGAATTTCGCGTCCTTTATCCCTGGTTTCCGTGATAACCTAGTCGTCACGTTATCTCTTTAAATAGACTTTATCTTCTAGGGTTTATTCTCTATTCCGTGGCTAGAAGTTATTAGCTTATTTACGTTCTTTATACGTAGGATATACGTCCTTGATATAATTAGCCTAAAGGATTAGGCTATAGTCTAGATAGTTAGCGTGTATTATCCGTCCTTTCTTATACGTTTAGTACTTAGGTGGTTAATTATCCGGTCCTTATAGGCTTATTATTAGGCCGGTAAAAGTATCTTGGTTTTCCTAAGTATAATAAGGTTACTAATATATAGTTTATTATTATTCTTTGCTAGTATCTATAGGTGCTCTGCGGTAGGCATTATTAAAGCTAGGTTTAGTAAAACGGATTAGTGGGTTTATCTAAGGGGTTCTTCCGCGAGCTAATTAAGTATCTATAGCTAGATAGTTTCCTCCTCGATTAGGTCGGCTACTTCTATAAGTTAATACTAGAAGTTCGTGTCGTTATCCGGGATCCTATCGGACTCCGTTTCTTAATCTTACTCTTCGAGTTTAGCGATTTCCTCCTATACGTAACGTGTATAATCCTCTTTCTTAAGCTAGTATTTCTCTTCGGGAGTAAGTCCTACTTCCTAGAAGGCGCTAAAGCCTTTATTACTAGTATTCGTGTGGACTTCCTATTTCTTCTAGATCTCTAAGATCTGCTTCTATCTTTTAGCTTCTTCTTTCGTCTATCCGTGTTCTTAAAGGATTTCTGCGGTAATTTATAAAGCTAGTCTATTATTATCCTAGTCGGGGATTTTAAGGCTATAGTCGTTATCGTACTCGTTACTAGATACTATAGCGAGTATCTTCTAGGGTCTTTTAGGATAATATCTAGCTCCGTCCTTTTCTAATTAGTATACTAGATAATAGTTATCGTAGCAGGTTATCTAATAGAGGTTAGTATATAGTGTTTCGTCCCTATAAATTTCTAGGTGTTTAATAGCGTTAATTTTCTTTTAGAGTTTCTCTCTTCCGATCGTATCAGCCTATTATTACGATCGTTCTCTCTTAGGCTATTAGTAATTACGCGCGAAGTAGCCTATTTTATCGTAATTATAGTATTTAACTTTGCTTATATCTTTCCTGCCCTGCTTATTATTCTATCGGTTAATATTATCGAGCTTTATAGAACTACTATAGTATCTATACGAGGTATTCCTAAATTAGTATAGGTATAGTTACTTTCTACTAGTATTAGCTTAGTTCCTCTTATAGTAAGTAGTGTGTATTATAGTATTCGAGTTCTAGCGTTTCTTTGTTTATTATTTAAATTATCGGTTATTAATCCGAATAGCTATAGCTATAAACGTGCTAAAATCTTCTAGGCGGTTAAGCTTATATAGTTCGTCCTTAACTTTATCTTTAAGTCTATAATAGTATTAGTCTATAAGGGGTTCGTTATTATAGTTAAGCTTTAAGGCGATCTATTAGAACTTAGCGGTATAGTCGGCTACCGACTTAGTTTATCGAAGCTTTTTAAGTTATTAGGCAGCGACCCTCTTCTTATCGGGTTATCTAAAGATACCGCCGAGTCGCTGAGCGAAGACCTTGAATTCGCCGAAGATAGCTGTAGTATCGTCCTCCCTCTTAGTAGGATCGTTAAGGTGCTCTAAATAGTCCCTGTAGATAGGCTTAAACTATCTATAGGTGTTTCCTGTGAGGAGTGCTATAGCGTAGAGAACTTTCGCCTCCTCTGTGTTAAGGGTGTTTCTATAGAATAAGAAATACCCCCGGAGATAGGTCAGGAAGCCTTATAGCTATCCCCGAGTCCTATCGTACTTAGGTGGCTCTGGGTATTTATACCTTAGGTTACTAGGACGTGGTGCCTTAATCTAAGCTCGGAGTTACTAGTTCTCTTAATAGAGTTATATAATTTAATTACGTATAGCTTATATTAGGTCGGCGGCCGCAGTGGCCGTTATTCTAGCGTTACTAGTAGCGTTGCCCGTGGTATTAGCGTTATTCGATATATCGTTCTTATTAAGAGAGTACTGCTTATTAGGTTTTAAGGTCTACTTACCGAATAGGATCGATTAAAATATTACGACGGCTTCCGGTCCTTTATAGTATAGCGGATAATAGGGGACTAGCGTCGAGGTTTTAGTTTAAAATAAGAAGAGGATATTAACTAAAGAGCAGTAACTATCGTTCGTAGTAGTCTAGTCGTAGTTACGTCGTAAAGACTAGGCGTCTTCTTTATAAGGTAGGTTTAAGCGTAGAATAGTAGTCTAGGTGAAGACTTAGATTAATCGATACCTTATTCTCTAGTAGAAGTAAGGCCTAGGATACTCTAGTATATATAGTGATAGCGTTTCCTGATCTATAATATCTATTCCTTATATAGTCGCTATGCCTGGGTGATCTTATCGTGACCAATCACCTACTAATCACTCCGATAGAGTGATTAACCCTAGCCCGTTCTAGATAGTATATTAAGTACCTTTATACCCGGTAACACGTGACTTAGTATGTGACTCCCTAAGTCGTTCTGTGCTATTCCTTATTTAGGTTATCCTATAGGCCACACACCAGTGTACCCATAGGGTTAGTCCATGTTAGGCAGATGGCCGTAACACCGAACCGCTATTCTTAACCACCGGAGTAATAATTTCCCCTTAAAGGGCGGCGGAGACTATAGCCGGCGTTATATTCTGCTATTACTACTATTACTCATGCTAGTCGCCGAGGCGATAAGCTATTACCTCCTCTACTAAACTTTTAAAATAAGCCGAGAAACTAGGCTTAGTTAAGCCCTCCTCGCCGGGGCCCGCTATGTATTTAAGCTCCTTTTTATTAAAGAATTACTTAGTATTATCGGTCTTCTAAATATTTAATTATTTACTTAATATATTACTTTAATTTTATAAAAAACTACGCTAAAACTATTAGCCGGAGCCTTACGATTAAGGAATAAGATTTAAAACACTTACCTTACGATTATCTTTATAGGAAAGGGGTCCTATTTTACGGACCGTTACGGTATTAACTAATATCTTAACTAAGGGGATTATACTATAATAACTAAGGATCTATTATTAGTAGCAGCACCCCGGAGTATAAATTTCTTATTTCGATTTAACCCAGAGCTTTTATCTTTGTTTATAACTCTTAGTAATTAGGGGGTAGAACTTATATTTACGAATAGGTATAATTTCTATTATAGTATTTACGGTAACGATTAGAGCGCCTATCTATAAAGATATAATAGTCAAATAAGCTTTATTTTCTAGAGTAAATACCCTTAACGTACTATATATAGGACGGATTAAAGGAGACGGGTATAAAGTTAGGGTTAGCGGCCTTAGTAGATTTTTTATTAGGCTTCTTAGGAGTCTGCTAATCTATTAATAACCGGAGCCTTACGACCGTAAACGGAAGTATAAAGCTAAGGGACCGGAGCACTTATATTAGGTTTTTTACCGGGGGTCTTAGAAATACCGGCAGGCTTAGTTAGGCCGGCACTAATAACCTTAACGCTAGAAGAACGGGTTAAGGGAGCCTAGAATAACGCTACTATTAGTACCTATCTTAAAAATCAGAGCTCCGGTAACTTACTATAGCGCGTTTAAGGGATAAAAAGCGGCTATTTAAGGAGGAAAGACAAGAAAAAAGTCCGAAAATTAGGCGAGGTATAAAATCCACGGAAAATCGTTAAAAGAGGATCGTGGTTATAGGAGGGAAAAGAAGGCTACGAAGAGCCTTAAAACCCTTTTATTTATATCCGGTACCTCCCCTATCTACTAATTACTTTAAATAGCACTTTCCTTTATTATTTACTACTATTATTATTATTCTTTCTTATTTTATAAGCTTCCTTACCTGCCTTTTAACTTAAGTTTAAGAGATACGTAACTACTCTTTAAAGCTATTTTAAGATTAACTATAAGGCGCCGGCGAGGTTAGGCTAAGTAATTACTAAGCTAATCAGGGTATAGTAATTAAGGGGTATATTGCACTAAAAACACGTAAGCCTATTTTCTGTGTTTTTATTAGCTAGACTAGCCCTATATTCCTTGCGTGGAAAAGGGGTAGATATATTTAGAACACCTATACCTTCCTGTTCTTCTTTCCTTTATATAACGAATACAATCATATATCTTCTGGATCTATACTCCGGCCGGATCACACGCCCCTCAATCCAACAATTATCACCCCGATTTGGGGATGACGCCATGGATGATAGTCATTCGTACCCAGGTCTGTGGTCTAGACTTATACCTCGTTGGGTCGCCTTCTTGTCCTCGGACAAAGGCGATGCCGAACGATGTGGCATGAGACTTTTGAGAGAGTTTCCCAATGGTGGCAACGGATCCAGGCGGTCTTCTAAACGGACCAAACCACTGGGGCGAGTAACTGATTCGGGCGACGTCTCGGCCGCTACTTCTCAACGTCCTGTGACCGACGAGAATTTACTTTCCGCCGTCTAAGGCGCCGTCCGGCCCGTCCCCGAGTCAAAAACCTTCCACGGGCGGCACGGCAGTCGTCTGGTCACTCTGGTGGCTGGTGGCAAAGCAACGTCCAAGCAACCAACATTCCAGCAACGTTCAAGCAACGTCCAAGCAACGTCCAAGCAACGTCCCTCCTTCTGCAGCGCGTCATGACAGCCAGGGTCCGTCGAACCTTGTTCTCGGAGATATCCATCATAAGTTGCGTCCCTTGTCGGTTGGCTGGGAATATTGTTTCTTGTTGTTGCTTTTCTTTTCTTTTCTTTTTTCCCCCCTATTTTTCTCCTCCCCTTACATTACATCCTCTGTAATCCATCCATCCGCTTCACCATATCACCATATTGCCGTTCACCTTATGCTGAGTAAACGATAGAAACATTGCGAAACCCGGTCGATTCTTTGTTTCTTTCTTCACATATCAAACTGAATCACACTGTACATCCATCATGGATAAGCCAGAAGATGGTGCTGAACGGAATGGCCGCGCCAGACGTACAGGCGCTGAGAGCCCCGACTCGAATCATCCGCGCATCAAGGTCTTCAACATCCATATTCTCTTCATGGGCCTCCTCGTCTCCCTGGGAGGCTTCATTTTCGGATACGAGGGCGGCGCCATCTCCGGCTACCTCCAAATGCGCGACTTTATCCACCGGTTCGGCGACGATGCAGGTACGGACGATCGCGACCAGCTGGGCAGGGTCCGCACCGGGTGCATGGTCTCCTTCCTCAGCGTGGGGTGCCTCTTCGGCGCCCTGATCAGCGCGCCCGTGGCGGACCGGCTCGGACGGAAATACAGCATCACGTTCTGGAACATCATCTACATCCTCGGCAACATCGTGGCCATCACGTCGCGGACGGCGTGGTACCAGGTGCCCATCGGCCGTCTGGTCGGCGGGTTCGGCATCGGCGCGCTCTCGGTGCTGACGCCCATGTACCAGAGCGAGACGTCGCCGAAGCAGGTCCGCGGCATGCTCGTCAGCGCCTACCAGCTCTTCATCACCCTCGGCATCTTCACCTCGTACTGCATCAACTACGGCACCGAGGGCATCTACAGCCCCGCCGCCTGGCGCATCACCATGGGCTGCGGCTTCATCGCCCCGACCGTCATGGGCATCGGCGCCCTGTTCCTCCGCGAGTCCCCCCGCTGGGACTTCCGCCGCGGGCACCACGACGCCGCCGCCACCACCCTGGCCCGCGTGTCGCGCGTCCACCCGAAACACCCCGAGGTGCAGCACGAGCTCCGCGAGATCCGCCAGCAGCTCGAGGCCGAGAGCGTCGCCGGCCAGACCAAGTGGCACGAGTTCTTCACCGGCCCCGCCATGGCGCGCCGCACCCTCCTCGGCATGACCCTGCAGGCCCTGCAGCAGCTCACCGGCGCCAACTTCTTCTTCTACTACGGCACCCAGATCTTCGACGCCGTCGGCATCGAAAACTCGTACATCACCTCCATGATTCTGGGCGCCGTCAACTTCGGGTCGACGTTTGTCGGCCTCTGGGTCGGTCACCGCTACGGGAGGCGCCCGGCCCTCGTCATCGGCGGCGTTTGGATGTTCATGTGCCTGATAGTCTTCGCGTCGCTGGGCTCTTTTGCGCTGTACCCGGATAACAACCCGAATGACCTCAACGCCCGCACCGATCCCAACGTCGGGTACGCCATGATCGCCTTTGCCTGTCTTTTCATCTTTGGGTTCGCAACCACGGTACGTGTCTTTGTGTTATTCTCACCTGGTGTTCCTTCCATTCTCTTGACGACCTCCTCGCTAACGGGACATCGTCAAATGCAGTGGGGTCCCCTCGTCTGGGCCATCGTCGGAGAGATGTACCCCTCCCGCTACCGTGCGCGCTGCATGGGCCTGGCCACGGCAAGCAACTGGCTGTGGAACTTCCTCATCTCCTTTTTCACCCCGTTCATCACCGGCGCCATCAACTACCGCTACGGATACATCTTCGCTGCTTGTAGCGGCGCGGGTGCCGTCATCGTGTACTTCTTCGTCGTCGAGTCGCAGCGTCGTTCTCTCGAGGAAGTCGACACAATGTACGTCCGCGGCGTGCTGCCTTGGAAGAGCGCCAAGTGGGAACCCGACAGCATCGACGAGAGGGATATTCGGGAGTCGGCTAGGCCTTGAGGACCGTACACCGGGGTGGTGGGTTTCTCTCTTTCCTCCTGGTTTCATGTCCCCTATGACGGCCGGCTTTTTTGGAACGAACGGGAGATTATAGACATGGGGAGGATTCTCATTTTTATAGAGCGCGTTCTTCTTTGGAGACTCCGGGGGTTGTAGTGTCGTTGGAGGGTCCTGTTTGGATGGTCGCCGGTCGGTACAAGTACAACTACACATCCCTACAGATACTCTGCACCTACTTTGCACCTAATTTTGTATTATTACTACCCGCTCCATTGTATTAGTTACGAGAATACGAGACAATGTTTTACATGATACCAACAACCTGATGGAATGAATCTTCACGGAGAAATATTTGGAGCCTTCGAGCAGTGAGGTGAGAGGACAGGACAGGGGATGGATATTGCCCGACGTCACCCGGTTCGGTCCGCAGTGGGGCCGAATGCAACCCCGATCGGCTCCGAAATTGGACCCACCGGACCCATGTCGTGATCCAAGGCCGCCCCTCGATCGGATTGGTGCAAGCGTCAAGAGGAAGCCCGTCAGATTTGCCAGATACTATCCACTCGACATCAAGCCCCGGCCGCACGTCTTAATCTGGGCAGCATAGCACGCAGTCGGTGTCACTAAGAATGTCACGACCATTCACGTACAGCAAAGAAGAATGTCGCTCATCGCTTCAGGGGTCCGTTTGGCACTCGGTCGCCCATCTCTAGCCCTCGAAGTCGACGCACCAACGCACCAACGAAGAACAACCCCCCTTCACCTCACCCCGCCTCGACAGCGTCACCCCGCTCACGCCACCAACTGACCAATGCGCCGACTTCACACCAGGCCAGCTGAGACGGATCGGGGTACCACCATCTCACAGACGAGTTTGGCGGGCGGTCACTGGCGTACTTGTTGAGGCTACCGCCATCGAACAGGTGGTTCTTGACACCCACGAGAAGGACGGGACGGCCGAGGACGGGGCAAAACTCCCCGGGATCGAGAAAGACGGTCAGGAGGACCTGCTTGGGGGTGGATGGGTCCACGAGGCGGGCGGTCCGGCGGGTGTAGGGGGGGAAACGGAAGGGCTCCACGTCGGTCAGGGCGACGACGACGGCGAGGACGTTGATGGACCAGTTTTGCTTGTAAGGGAGGTGGGGGATGGAGGCGAGGGGCGTCAGTTTAAGGGGAATCGAGGGATGGGCCCAGTCGCGGAGGAGTGCGACTGGCGCAAGGGTCGGGTGGCGTGGTGGTGGGTGAACGGGTCGGTTCAGCTCGCGGGGTGCGGCGGCAGGCTTGGTGTCATGGTGGCCTTGGCGCGTACCGCCCTCATCTCCATCGCGTACCTCTCCCTGCCCTTGTCCCTGTCCCTGTCGTAGTCCAACTTGGCCATCCGAACGGCCCGATTCGGGTTCAGTGGGTCGAACTGGGTTCTCTACACCAGGGCCAGGCGAAGGGGGCTGTTCGACGCGTTCATCTTGAGCACAGACAACGGCGTCAGCCATGTCAAGCAGGTCGTCGATGTCGCTGTCTGGAATGAAATCCTCCTCTTCTTCCGGTGGCTTTTGTGCGGGGGGCATAGACTCTCGCATAGACTCTCGCATAGACTCTCCCTCTTTCAGTTGTACGTGTGTTGACGCATCCGAAGAGACATTGCGGCCCTCTTGAATGAGCAAATGTTGTTCTTCTTGTGTCGACGTCGTTTCCTTTTCATCGAATGGTCCAACGGCCACCTCGGCGTCATCGCTTTCTGACTCCTGTAGTCCGTCCTCGAGGTGAATGGTCTCCGGCTCAACCAGCGCCATGTTCCATCCAACGGTGTCCAGGTCGTGGACGATAAGGTAGACCATCGACCTAGTGGCGCCGTCGGCATCTCGGGGGGCGATTTCCTCTCGGTATAGTTGAAAGTGACCAAGGCGGACGTAGCAGCCAAGGCGAATGGTAGCAAGGTCGACGAAGCGATGCATTTCGGGCCGGAGGAGGGCCTGGATGCACAGCTCTCCGTCGCCGAGAAGCAGGCGGAGTGCGCGCCATCGAGGTGATCGGAGCAGAGGCAGCGACTCGATGGATTCGACGAGGAAGATGGAGCCGGGGATACAGAATCGAGTGCGCAAGAGGTCGGCGATGAGCGGCTTGGGTTCGAAGGGTTCGGCGTCGGGGGCGAAGGTGATAGACGGTGGATTGGTCATGGCATTGTCGAAGGTGGCTGGGGGGTGTTCAACAAGATGAGCAAAGACATGGTATGGTGGTGCCGATATGGGGCTGTCTTGTCATGTCGGCTTAAGGGTTCTGTTTGTGGCGATGATCCTATGATCCTTGGCAGGTTGGCACGAGGACGAGGAGGATGGATGGAACCGACGGACGGAGAAGAACGAGATACGAAGCGTGGAGGATAGATCACGTGACATCATTTGGATTACATAATCGGTCTCTCCTTTTTCCTTCCCTTTTCCTTCCCTTTCCTTTCCTTTTCTTTCCTTTTCTTCCCCTTTTTTCCCTTTATTTTCTCCTCCTCTCTCCCTCTACGTCCCTTACTATACAGCTTTAACATCCAAAACACCAGCGAGCCACCCATCAAAGATACATGTGTACAGTACGTTGTACTCCATGAACGGCAAGTCGGCAAAGTTACCAGGGATATCCTGGTGTCGGCTCAACACGCCATCACTAGCTTCTGCCGGCTTTTTTCTGATCGGCACGGAGATGCCGAGGTAGACTCGCAGATCTTGAGAAATGTCGGCAGTCGGGCTCAGCCTGGCCCCGGTCTTGGCCGTCTTGGCCCCGACAACCGCTACTGCTCAGAACGAGCTTTCATATTTCAGTGCGGGCGTATTTCTATTAGGTTTCACGTTTTCAAGAAGATAGATTCGTCGTCTCTTGGAAAGAGGAAAACCTTGAATCCCGTGCTCCCACTTTCAGTCTCATCTCACCTCTACGGAGACTGTCTGCAGACTGCGTCAGGAACATGTGAAATTCTTGACATTATCCCGTCAAATGATTGCCGTTGGCTTTTCTCCCTTCTATCCTTGTCATCATTAGCGGCTTAGTGCCTGAAAAAAATCGAAGCCATACAGGGGTGTCGGATCCGTGGTCTACTCCGTCCGGTCCGACATGTTGATTCGCGGGTTACATTCCGCCTTCGGATCCGAAGGCGGAATACTCCGTTGGGACCCAGTCCTTAGTGTGGACAATGTGTGCCTCGATCCGTCGTATCCTACCTCTTCTTCAGATTCTTCTTGTGCCTACAAAAAAGTATTATTATCTCCTAGTCCCACCTGCTGGCTAACTGTCTCCCTCGTTCTCTGGATTTCCCATTTCGTCGCGTTGATCTACTTTGCTACTTGATTCTACTACACCTCCGTCTCATCACTCTCATCAGTCCCGATTCTTCTAAACCATGAGCAGGCGATATTCTCATTAATATCTACAAAGTCTAGTTGCAACCACAAGCATTCATAATGTCCGGATGTGGCGCCAATCACAAGACCGGCGGGCCAGAACCCGTCGGAAGTGGTCGAATTCCCTACTGGCGGCTCATCGTCGACCAGACGGGTATAACGCCAGCCGTTACCAACTACAACTACCCAGGTTCCGGCACGCAAGACGACCCGTATATCATGTATTGGATACCCGACGATCCAAGGAATCCCATGGAATTCAGCCGCCGCAGGAAATGGTTCATGACCCTTGTCATGGCCATCGCTACCCTGGCCGTCGCCCTCCTCTCCTCGGCGTACACAGGCGGCATCATCGAGATCATTCAAGAATTCCAAATAGGACAAACCGTGGCAACCCTAGGCGTATCGCTGTTCGTGCTCGGTTTCGCCGTCGGGCCCCTCCTCTGGGCTCCCCTGAGCGAGCTGTTCGGCCGCCAGGTCCTGTTTTTCGGCACCTACGCCGCCATGACGGCCTTCAACGCCGGGTGCGCGGGAGCCCAGAACGCCCAAACCCTGATCATCCTCCGTTTCTTCTCCGGTGCCTTCGGGTCGTCGCCGCTGACCAACGCCGGCGGCGTCATCGCCGACATCTTCCCGGCGTCGGAACGAGGCCTCGCCATGGCTCTGTTCGCCGTCGCCCCCTTCCTGGGTCCCGTACTCGGCCCCATCATCGGCGGGTTCCTGGGCATGAACGCCGGCTGGCGCTGGGTTATGGGTTTCCTGGCCGCCTTCTCCGGTGCCGTCTGGATCCTGGGAACCCTGTTCGTCCCCGAGACGTACGCCCCCGTTCTCCTGCGCAGACGGGCCGATAAGCTATCGAAGATGACGGGCAAGTGCTACGTGAGCCGGATCGACCACGAGAGCGGGAGGATCACGCTCTCCGAGTCGTTCAAGGCCGCCTTGTCGCGTCCCTGGGCGCTCCTCTTCAAGGAACCCATCGTCCTGCTGCTGTCCCTCTACATGGCGATCGTCTACGGGACGCTGTACATGCTCTTCGCCACCTTCCCCATCGTCTACCAGCACAACCGGGGCTGGAACCAGGGCATCGGCGGCCTGGCCTTCCTCGGGATCATGGTGGGGATGCTGTTCGCCATGGCGCTCGCCATCACGGGGAACAAGCGCTTCGCCAAGATCGCGGAGCAGCACGGCGGGTTCGCGCCCCCGGAAACCCGCCTCCCGGCTGCCATGATCGGCTCCATCGCCATGCCCGTCGGCCTCTTCTGGTTCGCGTGGACGAACGGCGCTTCGGTCCACTGGATGGCCAGCGTCGCGGCCGGCGTGCCGTTCGGGTTCGGCATGGTCCTGGTCTTCCTGAGTCTGATGAACTACCTCGTCGACGCCTACACCATTTTCGCCGCCTCGGTGCTTGCTGCCAGCTCGGTGATCCGCTCCCTGTTCGGCACGGCCTTCCCGCTGTTCACCAACTACATGTACGACGACCTGGGCATCCACTGGGCGTCGTCGATCCCTGCGTTTCTGGCCCTCGCCTGCGTGCCGTTCCCGTTCCTTTTCTACAAGTATGGCGCTGCCATCCGGGCGCGGTGCAAGTTCGCCTCCCAGTCGGATGCGTTTATGAGGAAGCTTCACAATGCGCAGCAGGTGGAAAAGGAGCAGGAGTTGGAACCGTGGCGGCCGAGTGTGGAGCCGATCGTTGGTGAGGGGCAGTCGGACTCGGACACGCAGGCGGGGAGTGAGGCGGATGTTGAGCCCATCCGGGCGGCGCGTACCCGGTCCAGAGCGTCCACTCGTCGTAGGACTTCGGCGATATATGAAGGGAATCCGTTTGATATTGATCGGGTCCACACGCGGCAGTCATTCGGGAAGTAAGAGGACTGTAACCTGGGGTCCTGGACTGTCAACCGAGTCCATCCATCGTTTTATTTTCCGTTTTCCCTTTTGTTTGTTTTCTTTAACCCAGATATTCCGTATTAATACCGCTGAATAGAACGGTAGATGGACTAGAGACACCAGCTTTGATAAACAAGTTATCAAGGCGACAGCAATGAGCTTTACCGCAGCATTGGGGAACTCTTTGAGAGTTTGACTTTGATAACTTTGCCAGCGGTTTCTCTTCGCTGGACTTTCATTTACAAATTACTCCTGACTACTTTACCATACTATGCCTTGTATGGCGCCAGCTCGTTCCCAGCTTGGTGAAGGTCCGTACACTGTGCACAATGCAGAATAAGGCCAACAGTTTGTGTCACTCGCTACGACAAGTGAAGAAAAAAAAATGGGTTTTTTTCTTCTCCTTTGCGGGTTTTACATTACAGCGTTTTCTCAGCCCAAGCCAGCCAGATAAGTAATATCAACCCCAATTGTAAGAGTCAAGGTGAGTTGTCTAAAGTACACAGCCAAATGCTATATTCAGGGGAACCTCTACGCTCGGCGAAACCGGAAAACTCTAAACTGTTATTGGGTCGAGGAAAATGGAAAGAGCAAAGAGCTGGAGATAATGCAACACAAAACCATCCGTATAGAATATATTTGCTCATCCCATGACGTCGACAGTACAAAATACTCCATTCCAAGTCAGGAACTAATAACTTCTGTTGCTGAATAATACTTCTATTGCAGCAAGTCACTTGACTCACTTCTATCTGTGTGATAGAATCATAGAAGTATTCTGTTAGAGTCTTGGAGATACAATGAGACAAAATTCAGAACAATGACAGACGGACCCTGTAAGATTTAATAGCTACATCCTGATTTTATATTCAGACGCAAAGACGTCAAACCTGAGATGCATGAGATGATTACTTTGGTGAATTTACTCCGATCTTACATAGTAGCTTAGACGAGTGCCATGGTGGCTGTGGTTGAGTATTTCTTATCTCCGGGGGATGTGTTGCGTGCACTACGTTGTATACCTAACGTTACAGTATATACCGAGTGAGGAGGTACGTACATATCCTCATCTGCATCAGAGAATCATGTGTACCTTACGGAGAATATCAGCCGTAATACCCGTGATCATTAGCAGAGCTCCTAGTACAAATAAGGAAAGCACCCAAAAGCCACAGGCTTCTATAGTCTATCTCACTGGTCGCATAGTTTGAGACGTTGGAGTTCTCACTTTCGCATCGTAGCACAGTTCCTGTACCCGGTTATGATCGGCCCCTGAAATCTGATTTGTCACAGACCTGAGAAGGCCAGGAATCCCCATTCGCTAAGGCACCCACTAAGATACACTTCTTCACTTTAACAAACCCAAGTCAGTCCCGTTCACCAGTCGACCATTTCTTCCACCAACTCATGGAAGAGGGAACCGAAAGTCAGATTATAGATACCACTGGTAAAGAGACCTACCACTCCTGAGTCCTCATCCTCCGGCTCCATCACTGACCCCGACCCCGCAGAAAGCAGCATTCGCGCTCCTCCCCCTTATGTCGAAGCCAAAAACAGCCAGGGCCCAGCCCACAGCGACATTCTCCCACCCGAAACGCTTCTTCTAGCAGGGACCACGATCCACGGGGGATCCAGCCCCTCCTCGCCGCCGCTCTACCGCCTATCCCACGCCGTGGGCCACCTCCGCGCGTCGAACACGACAGTCGAGCTCTTCCGCTTCGACTACCGCGTCCGCGACACCGCCGCCAGCGCCACCGCCTCGGCGCGCGAGAAGCACATCTTCAGCCTCCTCCGCCCGCCTCCCATAACGGGCCCGTCGTTCGAGTACCATCTCGAGTCGGTCTCGCGGTCGAACCTGGGCCAGGTAGGGCTCAGGCTGCACCGTCCCCGATCGGGATTCGGACGTGGCTTCTTCGGGTTGTCGTCGACACATGCATCCTCTTCGTCCGCGTCGTCGTCGTCATCTCTGAACGGATATCGGGCCTGGCGGGCCACGAGGCCGCGGGAAGGGGCGAACTTGGAGGAGAAGGAGCTCGTGTTTGTCGTGCATGCGCGAGAACGGGGCCGGTATGAGTGGCGCGACGGAGGGGAGGGCCAGGGCCGGATCCTGGCGTACGAGACGAGCGAGGATGGGATCTACAGGTTGCAGATCGTCGAGACGTTGGAGAGGAAGTGGAGGGATGCGCTGGTTGGCACGTGGTGTCTGAGGCTTTGGTGGGAAATTGCCGTTTCTAACGTCAAGCCTCTGGCCTGGGAGGATGGTGAGTGCTGGCGGATCCATCAATCATTGCATTCACGAACATCGCGGGACGCCTCGAAGCTAACTATAATTCCCTCTATGGCAGTCAAACGGATACTGCAGACAAGAACGCACGAATTTCCGGCCGGAACATCAGCCGGCCTTTGACGTGGTAAGGAGATAATGAGGGAAACTTGCCCTTGGTCGAATGACGAATACCTTAGGTACCTACCTTAAGGTATTACTGTACAACGTAGGTACATCGGTGAGGGCCGCACTTCTGGTATCGGAACGTTGTTGGCGGCTGGTAAAGACAATGGCAGCCCCGACGCCACCTGCCCACTCTATAATCTGAGTTGCGTTATGCTTTCGTCAATTTTTCACCTCAGCAAAGGAGTCATCACTCACTCACCCGTGACACATAACCCACACTTCCCCTTCCTCTGATTTTTCCAACAACTTATTCAACCATTCTCACTTCACTAGGAACAGAGAGACTAAAGGGAGAAGAAAAGAGTCCAAAGACAAACGTCCCGTATCATGGACTCACCACACCAACATGAGCTCCAAACCGCCATCGCCGCAGTCCAGCGTGCCGCCCACCTCAGCAAAGCCGTCCTCGCCGCAGCCGGAGACCGCGTGAGCCACATCGCCAAGGATGACCACTCCCCCGTCACCGTCGCCGACTTCGCCGTCCAAGCCCTCCTCACCGCCGCCCTCACCGCCGCCTTCCCAGGCGACGCCTTTGTGGGCGAAGAAACCGCCGACGACCTGCGCGCGAACCCGGCCCTCCTCGACCGCGTATGGACCGTCCTGAAAGAGGTCGCCGCCGACACCGACCTCGCCGAGTCCGACGGGGCGCCCCAGATCCCGGACTCCCCGGAGCGCCTGTGCACGCTCGTCGACCGCGCCGGCCTGGGCGTCCCCGGCACGGGCAGGGTCTGGGTGTTCGACCCCATCGACGGCACGCAGACCTTCCTCCGCGGCGAGATCTACGCCATCAACGCATGCCTCCTCGTCGACGGCGAGCAGACCGTCGCCGTCGTCGGCCTGCCCAACCTCAGCCCGCAGGCTACCTACCCCGTCACCGACCAGTCGGTCGATCCCGACCCGAAAGGCGGGTCCATCCTGTACGGCGTTCGGGGACGCGGGGCGTTCCGTCGGCCCTTGGCGGGACCGGCTGGTCTCGTGGGCGACCGACTCCCCCGCCACGAGGGAACGCCGGAGAAGCTGCGCTTCGTCACCAGCACGGCGGCGGGCTCTTCTTCCCCGGGCGTCAATGAGAAGGTCGCCGCGAGGCTCGGCATGGAGTACCCGGGCAACGATCTTCTGGGCTGGGTGCCGCGGTGGGCTACGCTGGCCATGGGCTATGCGAACGTGACGGTCTGGGCGTACGCGCGGCGCGAGAGGCAGGGGAAGATTTGGGACCATGCGGGGGCCATGCTCCTCTTCGAAGAGGTCGGGGGGAAGGTCACCGACGTGGATGGGAAGGCGCCCGATCTGAAGGTGGGCCGTAAGATGGTCTCCAATTATGGTTGGGTTGCTGCGCCTCCTGGCATACATGGTCGTGTGCTGGAGACGGTAAGGGAGGTGTTGAGGGAAGGGGGCCAGGGACATTTGCTACGGTGAAGGGGAAAGAAAGGAGGGGAAGAAAAGGAAGGGAAAATAAATGAGTACAAGGGAAAGCGGAAAACAGGAACGGGTGGATTATCATTAGACACGGTAGTGTTCGCTTTGGTATGGGGGAACGGCAAAATCACGCATTAATAGACTTAAAAGGCACGCATCTCGTCTTGGCCGAGGCCTCATAACAATATCTCAAACGGCCCAACAACATGACTTGTCCAGCTTGACTCTGACAGTCGGGTTTCCAGTTTCCTCACTGCGTGTACTCACTGCATGTACGTGTACTCGCAGCTCTGGGGTTCAGTGAGCTCAATAGCACGCGGGGAGAATCCGAGGCACCCCTCCTGGCCGGCGGGCTTGCCAATGCCCACGGAAAGCCAGATCCTCCAGGCGCCATCAATGCTATTCGGGCAAGCGAGAAGCCCGGTGCCCTTGAAGGAGAGGTTGTTGTTGGCATCGAGCTCCCAGCCTTCCCGCTCGGCGTTGCGCGGCAGGGGTTGATCGCCGGTTGTGTAGCCTACTATGCCCTGGCCTGTTGTGGTTCGCACGTGAGTTAGCAACTCTGTTACATCTTTTCCTTCATCTACTTCTTCCTTTTTTCTTCTTTTTTTCTTCTTTTTTCTTCTTCTTTCCTCTCTCTCTCTCTCTCTCTCTCTCCACGCAGCCCCTGCATACGAAAAACTCACCCATTCCGGAACGGTCAACGAAGATCTGCTGATACGGCTCGGGCTCGGCGTAGAGGTACAGATTGCCATCGATGAGGGTGAAAATGGCACCGCTGGGGGCGGGCCCGTCGGTGCAGGTGGCGTTTTGCTCGGGGAGGTTCAGGAACAGGCTGTTCCTGGCTGCGCTGCCTTGGGCGAAATGGATGGGGCTGGCGGATCGGAGGGCCATGATGCCAAAGGGACCGAAGTTATTCTTGCAGGCATCATCGTCCCTGGACTTCACAGGCGAGGCACATGCCGCGGCCGCGAAAAAGGCTACCAAGGCCTGGGAGAAGTGCATGATAAATTGAGAATGACTGGTTTCGTTGAGGGTGACGAGGGAGCGGTCCGGACTCCGATGGTACGACTTGAGTGAAGATGAAGACTCGCGGAACGGGGTTTTTTTTTGGTTGATTTCTTTCCAATTTTACTCCGTCGTTCATATGTGAAGGTCAGCATCAAGTTAGCACAGTGCATGCCAAGTTGCCAACACCGTCAACGCATCGTCGGTTGAGAGTCTTGAGACTAGCCCGGACGATCTTCATGCTGAGGCGGTGGCGGTCATCGACCCGCCAGCGAAGGACGAATGACACTCGATCCCCGGAGGCGGGGGACTACCCTTGACGTCAGCTGCCGGGGGAATACGAGAAAGCTCGGGCCCTCGGGGTTCGCGGACAAGGGCAGACGCTACATGTAACATGATGCACGCCGATTGGTCGTTGAGGTGAAATCGCATGATTCGCACCCATCCAAGCCGACTCCAAAAAAGCACAGACAGAAAGACTCAAAGAGTCCCTCGGAGCCCGGAGCCGTTGAAGGCTACGTAGGCACTTCGTAGTATCCGTACACGTACTTACAACGTAGGTACGTATGATCTGCTGTTTTGTATTTCTCCGTGGTTTATGGTTGGGGAATTTGGGAAGTCAGGTGCCAAGCTGAAGGGTGATACCGTAATACATAGTAGGCTACTATTACTATTACCTACAGACTACAGTAAGCCGAATGCGAGAGTGAGAGTCAGACTGTCGGGGGTTTTGTTCGAGCTGCTGTCGCCGCTGCCGGTTAGCCGATGACACGCATGCAGACCAATTGTCAGTGAATGCGAGATGAGCTGCCACGTTGAATCGCCTTTTTGTTTACTTGTTCCTCGGACGGCCTGGCCCTTGACCGGTGATATGTCCAGTTTAGGTTCGGCGGTCCAGGGCTACCGTGTTTACGGATCCGCTCCCTCAGCAGGGCAAAAAAAAAAATGGAAGAAGAAGAAGAAGAAGAAGACCAAGGGGGAAGGGAAAGAAAAAGGGGACGTTGGACGTTTTCCAGTCTGCATTGACGATTCGATTAATTATGCTGCAAATTGCATTGTGGGACAACAAGACTCCCTGAGCTTCCCTTCGACCAGGAGCTCTCATATGCCAAGACACATTGGCAACTTTACCGACAGCTGAGTTGTCTAGATGGAGTTGGCTGTGATATAAGTATTAGCAATGTCTAAGTTGCTTTACGTATATAGTTATTCTTCGTTCTTTAACTGTTCGCTAGAATATATAAGAATTAGAATATCGTCTATCATAAGCAACTCGGCAACTCGACGGCCTGGATACTATAGAAAGTGAAGACTAATTACACTATGAGAAAGTATATACCTTTCCTAGAAAAAGCGTTTATTCAGGAGTAGAAGGTAGCTTTAACGCGATTATCTTAACCTTACCGCACTGTGATTGTACTTACTAAGGGTCAGAGGTCAGTTAGAGCTCTTAGGAGACACTGTCCTCCTTCGGAATTATTTACTACATAATATCCTAATCTTCAACGGAGTTCATCAATAAGACTATCAGCAGAGGAAAAAAGAGAAGAACCATGACTTACCACTACCTAATGGTACTCTACCTTGATGTGCCACCCGCTGCAGGGGAGTTGTGTACTATCAACCGTAGACTCGTATCGGTAACTACCTGAAGCTCTTTCCCTCTAAAAGCAGTCTTATCATTTAATGGGAAGGAGGACCATATGTGTAGGTAGTACCGTCCACGCTTCCACACGAGTACGCCTACATCCAAGGTAACAACAGGTGGCACATATTAACTTCTTTTCGTACCCTCGAACCCCGCAAACGCCTCGAGTTACTAGATCTCAGACCTGAACTGGCGTATACTGTTTAATATCTGTGGGCTTGAGCATTGAGGATCTCTCTGCATTTGAGTGGGCGGCGAGTCTATGGTTATACTAACCCACAGCCCGTTCTTAGTCTCCGACCTCCGCATCATCCGATAATGGCCACGTGCACTGTTTGACAGACTGGTCGTACAACATGATTTAACATTGATTCCCAGCCAATGTGGGGCAAGTCTGGCGTCCAATCCATAATGTCCGATGTCCGTCAAACGGTAAATTACCAAGCGAAGTAAGTACTTTGTCCAGAGCAAAAGTGCGGTGGACGCTGGGGTAGAAGTTGAACCAATCGAACCAGTCAGCGAATCCTACTTTCGTTCTTAGCATGTAATTGGCCACTCCGGACCGGGACGGCTCCCCGAAAAGTGCGGATAGCCCCGAACCGTTAGCAGCACAGCACCAATAGGGACCTACCTAACTTCCCCTAACTCCACCCTCACTCTGCCCGGAGATGGGGAAATCCGCGACCTTTCCACGCCCATCCCCTATAGGGTTTAGGTAGGATGATGCACCCCCATGCCCCCCCGTGCCAAGAGGAGAAAAGAACGCGTCAATTTCTCGGCAGCCCATCTTACATTTCTTACATTTCTTCTCCGCTTACTCGGACCCCTCCAGGCCCCCGGACAATCAATCTCACCTCAAAATTCTTCTTCCCTCCCTCGGTGTGGTATGCATTCTGCATCTTCCATCGCATTGTCGCCTTCCTCCCCCCTCTCTCCCCCTGGCTCTTGTGTCACCTTGTGACCCTTTGCCAATCAAGCACGCACGCGGGTCATACGAAACAGGCGCCGACATCTCTTTTGGCATTTGCCCAGATTGTTCGATCGACACAGCAGCTTATCAGCAAGGACAGACACACAATCTTTCCGTTATGGCGACGACTGACCAAGCTGCGGCCACCCATGAGGCCCCGGCTCACCTGGAGGCAGACGTGCATGTAAGTAAGACATTTTCATAAGATGTGATCTTCGCATTTGATCTCTGCGGCAAGCATGACGTCTTGGAACGGTTCGTCGCATTGACACAATCCCGTTCTTTTTTTATCTCTATAGGAAGCGAGGAGTGATACGGACTCCCTGTTCGATGATGTGAGTTTTCCCCTCCGTCCCCCCCCCTCCCCCCGGAGCACTTCGGGGAACCCTCTTTACCTCGATATGCTTCTCCTTTTGGCCCATGATCCGTCATTCGTCGCACAGCATCTTAACATGCATTCGCAATTAGGGAAGTGGCCAGTCCGACACGACGTCGCTCGCTTCATCTATCGCCCGATATCGCCATGAGAACGGCCGGCGGTATCATGCTTTCAAGGATGGATGTGAGCTCCCTCAGCTTGATTAAACCCCTTGGCCTTGCGATGGAGAAACTTGGTCGCTCATTGATTGACCACCCACCTCACAGCTTACAACTTTCCGAACGATGAGGTGGGTTGCGCGTCGTCCTGGCCGTCCTGATTGAGGAGGGGTGACTGGAGCCAAGGAAAATTCCATTAACGTCAAACCCTCGCCGAAATGCAGGTAGAACAAGAGCGTCTAGGTAAGGAAAGGGGACCTGCGAGATCCGATCCAATAGTTACCCCTCGTCTCATGCCCAGAGCAGCAAGCCTTGTCTAACGGAAAGGTCCAGATCTGCAGCATAATCTCTTATGCATGACGTTCGACGGGAAGCTGCACATCTCACCGGCCGGGAAAGATAAGCCCCTGCATCGGGTGCTTGATGTCGGCACAGGCACCGGGATTTGGGCCATGGACTTTGGTACGTGTGGCTGGTGACCCTTCGTAACGGGTGGTAGTTGTGTGATTTGCATGTTCTGTAAGGGGCTAACTTGGGGACAACCCATTTCAGCTGATGAACACCCTGAAGCTGCGGTATGCCGTTTATTTGTCGAAGCAGAAATGGCCTAAAAAAGGGGGGGAGGGGGGGATGTTCGACTCACATGTGCTACTTAGGTCCTCGGCGTCGACCTCTCTCCTATCCAGCCGACCTAGTCAGTCATCGATCCCACCCGGGTCTGCATCGACTGCTTATCCTCGCTGCTAACTGATTGGCCTTGCCTGTGCTTTCTTCACAGCGTCCCCCCGAATGTCATCTTCCTCGTCGACGACGTCGAAGAGCCCTGGGCCTACGAGACCAAGTTCGACTTTGTCTACACACGCATGATGACCGGTTCCCTCGCCAACTGGTCACGATTCACGCAGCAGGCCTATGAGTGAGTTTTAGTAGAAAACAACTCGAACACTGCGCAATAACGTTTTCAACTTTCCTGTAACCCATGCGGCTCATGCTAACGTTAAAAATAGAAACATGAACCCAGGAGGATGGATCGAGTTTGTCGACATTGCTTATGTTACCTCCGACGACGACACTCTCCCCAAGGACTGTCCCCTTCAGAAATGGACGGATCTGACGGCGGAAGCGGCCGCGAAGATTGGCCGGCCCATGGATGCCGTCAAGTCGCACAAGAAGAATCTTCTGGATGCGGGGTTTACGAACATTAATGATGTTATTTACAAGTGGCCGACGAACCGGTGGCCCAAGGATGCCAAGTACAAGGAACTGGGTCTGTCGTCTCCTTTTTTTTCTTTTTTTTTTTCTGTTCTCTCCCCTGACACTGACTGATGGGCAAACAGGCATGTGGGCAAACGAAAACATGGGCGGAGGCCTGCAGGCCATCACTCTCGCCCTCTTCACCCGAGTCCTCGGCTGGTTGCCTGAGGAGGTTGAAGTGTTCACGGCTGAGGTCCGGAGGGATATGCGCAACCCCCGGTATCACGCGTACTGGCCCATGTAAGAAACCCAATGCCAAAACAAGGCCCGCAAGGGAAAGTGCAGAGACTGACAAAGTATAGCATTGTCACGTATGCGCAGAAGCCAGTTGCTGCCGCTTCTACTTAGGTGCATCAATGGTATAGCAGGAGGAAAGAAATCTCGAGGCCCTCATTTGACTGTTGATGGTGAAAGTGTCAAGTTTGAAAGTTGGAGTGCCTTGGCCGGAGTTTTTCCCCTTTGCTTTACTCTTACTTTTTCTTCTTCTTATTCTTCCTTGGTCAAGCGGCATTTGATTGCATAAGGTCTTCGCCACATGAGTATATGATCGTTATGATAGTTGTTCTACACCGACGATGCGTGACTGAATGGGGTTCAGGTTGTCTCTGCCCGGACAGATCAGGTATTTTGCACCACATATTCACACTTATGGCGGGCAGTCCAGTTTACACTTTATGACTTCTTACTTCTAGTACCTGCGGTGAAATATATATAGGTGGTTAGAATTATCACGGGGGGTAGGGGGGGGAGGATATAATACCCCCTGACTGACGATAACCCCTGAACAATGAGATCACAGGCGCTTTCCTGTTCTCCAGCATCAATCCCTTCTCTTCATCAGACGATCACTGCTCGGTATGAATCATGATGCCCGTCACGGTAGGTGTAGACCGCTGACTGTAGGGTCATTTCTCATGCAGTCCCCCGACCGAGCTCCTCGACATGATAATTGGCACAACGTGGGGGGTTGGATTGATGTGTATCGTTACAGTTACATCGAATTCAAGTCATGTTAGATCTGACGGTTGGTGCCATGGTGGTATTGTTACATCTCGGCAGTGATCTTCGTACCACCAGCCTCCCTGCATGGTCCCATGGTTAGGTGTCGTTGAGGGGAGGGGACAGATCGACAGAGCGACAGTTGGCAGTTGCTTAATGCGGGGGACGCAGGGAAGGACATGACCTGAACAGGGAAAAAAGACCTTACTTATAATAACATGAAGCTCATGGGCAGGTAGGCTTTGAGGGAATGACTTGGAACTCGCATCATCTGAATTCTGGACTAACATCGTCGTCTCGGTGAGTCGGTGAGCACAACTTACAACCACATCCATCATGGTATCACGACTTCTTCTTGGGGCTCTAGCCTCCCTACCTGGACTGAGTTGGGCGCTGCAACTTCTTCCTCCCACACAAAATGCTTCCGATTCACCGTCTACCGGTGCTGTATGGGAGGTTGGGCCAGTCCCCAAAGTCATCTATGTAGAGGAGAAACTCGCGTCCAAGACCGACGATGACGGTCTAACCCTCATCCCTCCCAGCGGATTCGGCTTTGCTGATGTCTTTCGGGAAGATCTTAGCCAGCTAACCGACTCTAACTGGACGTTGCTGCGCGTTGAACAACTTCCCAACCAGGCCAATGTGAGCAGCAATAGCATTCTGCTCGCAGAGTTCACGGGCGATACATCCTCCATCACCTACGAGAACGGCGTTCCGACATCCGAGGGATACGAGCTCGTCGTCACATCTACCAGCGTCTTCATCGGCGGCACCGGCGCTCGTGGTATGTGGTGGGGGACGCGCACCTTTCTACAGCACCTCCTCCTCCGCCAGAACGGAACCGTCCCCGTAGGTCGATCCGTCGACGCCCCGGCCTACGCCACGCGGGGCTTCATGCTCGACGCCGGCCGCAAGTGGTACAGCCCCGGCTTCCTGAAAGAGCTGTGCAGCTACGCGTCCTTCTTCAAGATGAGCGAGTTCCACTACCACCTCAGCGACAACTACCCGCTCAACCGCGGGGCGAACGACACCTGGCAGGACGTCTACTCGCACTTTTCGCTACTCCCCGAGGACGAGTCCCTCCGGGGCATCCTGCACGGCCGCGAGAACGAGACGCTCTCGCGCGCAGAGTTTGCCGAGCTGCAACGCCACTGCGCCGCCCGCGGCGTGACCGTCGTCCCGGAGATCGAGGCCCCGGGCCACTGCCTCTACCTCACGAAGTGGAAGCCCGAGCTGGCGCTGCCGAAGCGCGACCTCCTCAACCTGACGCACCCGGATGCCGTCCCCACGGTGAAGCGCATCTGGTCCGCGTTCCTCCCCTGGTTCGAGGCCAAGGAGGTGCACATCGGCGCCGACGAGTACGATCCCGCGTTGGCAGACGACTACATCGCCTTCGTCAACGAGATGTCCGACTTTGTCAACTCGACTGCCGGCAAGCGCGTGCGCATCTGGGGCACCCACGAACCGTCCGAGACCCTGACCGTGTCGACCGACATTGTGGTGCAGCACTGGCAGTACGGCCAGTCGGATCCCGTCCGGCTCGTCGCCGAGGGCTACGACGTCATCAACTCGCAGGACTGGTGGGCGTACACCTCAATCAAGAACGACCACACGCCCATCCTGCCGGCGCGGTACCCGCAGTTCTTCAACGAGAGCCGCGTGCTCGCCTTTGCCGACCGGCCCGGGTGGCAGTGGCAGCCGGCGGACTTCAACCCGTTTAACGTCAGCATGCAGCTGGACGACGGCGAGCCGAGGAACAAGGGCGCGATATTGGCGGCGTGGAACGATAACGGGCCTGATGCGTCGACGCAGCTGGAGGCGTATTACTCCATGCGGCGCGGGATTGCCTTGACCGGCGCCCGGGCGTGGGGCGGCGCGAGAGGACCCGAACTGGATGCTGGTTCCGTTTCTGCTAGTGTTGATTTCTTTTCTCCTCGTGCGCCGGGACAGAACTTGGATCGCGTGCTGCTGCCTTCCCCTGAAGTGACTTGGACGCGCACCGATGAGGACACCGACGGCGGGACTTTTCATCTCGGACGTGGAAGCAAAGGCATGAATTACACCCTGACTCTGTCCGTCACTGGACCTTTCACGCTGTCGGGACCAGACAACACGTTGTCTCTGGATGAAGAGGGGCACTTGGTTTTCGAAGCCGATGGGTGGGTTTACCCGCTTCGACACGTCAGTGAGGAAGACGGCCTGGAGCTCGACCCGGGCCATCCGGGGCGGATCTGGGTCAACGCATCATCTTCTACGCACGAGGAAGTCCGTTTGTCGGATGACCTGCCGGCGACGATTACCATTGCGACGGACGTTGAGCACGGTAGTGTGGTCTGGGTGGACGGGGAATTCGTGGGGCGGTTTGAGGTGTTCGTGTACGGTGGTCGCAATACCCAGTTTAGCTGGAGCCAGATGGCCTTCGTAGCGCCTCTTGAGGATATTACCGGGTCTGGGCTTGAAAGGTTGAGAGTTGGGGATGTGGCGAGAATAGCCCCCCCTGAGGGAACGGAGGAGGACGAAGGACCCCCTGAGACGACGAATCCGGGGAATGTCGGAGCGGCGCTACAGATTTCAGGGGTAGCGATGTTTGTTGCCGTGCTGTTCACAACAGCTGTGGCCTGGTAACTCGCAGACAGTGTAATTGTCTGATACCTATGCCGGCCAAGTGTTGGGATGACACCATAACTTCCATGGGGAACGAGAGAACTTGGGCCGATGTGTGACGCAGCCCCCAGAAGTCATACATCTATGGGACACCAGGGCAGCTACTGAGACCTCAACTAATAAAGATTGATAGAAGATAATTAGATACCTGTATTAGATTCAGCTGCAATTCTCCATGACACAATCGACCTGCCCGCTGGTATGGATTCGACAGACATAACCGCCCGCACAGACTTCCACCGACACGGCTCAGCTCGCCCCAGCCCCTTGCCATCGCCACGACCCCCGAGCTCAGTCGCAAACCGGCAAACCTGTCTTGGGAAGAAGCCGCCACCGCTCCCCTCTCGGCTCTTATGGCCTGGCAGGCCCTCTTCGTCCATGGAGGTCTTGCCGCCCCCGATGTCAGGGGGGATGTGAATGCAGCCCGGGCCAGGAACAGGTCGACGTTAAGGGGGAAGGTTGTTCTGAGGGTTGGGTGATGTGGATGTTATCACGCACGAATTTGACCCATGTCCTGAGAACATAGACATTGGGGAGAACTGTTTCCCTAATTTCAACCCCATTTTCTTCCGTCAGGTCTATGTTCTCTAGACTTATATAAACCAAAGGCATTAGTTGAGCCCTGCGCTTGCCATCCTACTTTTCTTCTCCTCCACTACACCCATCTATACACCTGCGGTACCCCTTAATGTCTCTTCGCAGCCGGGAGAAACTCAGCATTCACACAAGGCTCGTTCTCCCCACAAGCCTCATACAAGTTCATCCACCCACCACCACCACACCACTGCCCGTCATCGCCGCCGCAGCGCATGTTGCACCCGGCAAGATCGGCGAGGGTGTTCCCGGGCTGGCGCGTAGGCGGGTACGAGTTCCCGCACCAGCACTCCCGGCCATACTCGGACCCAGCGTAGGCATAGCCCCGGCTGCCGCAGTACTGCACGCAGAGCTCGTTGGTCAGCTCGTCGTCGGCGTAGAGCTCGCCGTTGAGGGTGCGGGTGGGGATGCCGTCGCCGGCGGGGCCTTCCTCGGGCGCGCAGCCCACGAAGGCGAACCCTTCGGAGGTGACGTCGGCGAAGATGTCTGGGGTGGCCGTGGGGCCGGACGGGCCGGTGGGGGTGGGGATGATGATGGAGCTGCTGCCGCTGGGGGTCGGGATGGGAGGGGGTTCGGAGCGGTCGATCACGAGGGACACGGGGATGCAGGGCCTCTCGTCGTCCCAGGCTGTTGGTCGGCGGAAGGGGTTGAGTTAGCGAGAAGAGATTTTTGCTGTTTGGTTGGAGAAGTGGTTGAAACATGGAGGGAAGGAAGAGATGGGAAGAGATGGCAAAAAAAAAAAAGGGGGGGGGGGTGGGGGGGTTGGGGGGTTGTTGACGATAACATACCGGGATTCTCAGGGGGAGACCAGCGGAACTCGTGTCTCTCACCCGCGGCGGAGCGGACGCAGATGTGACCGCCAGGAAGATCACCGTCACCACGGCGCTCGACAAACTCAAGCTCAACCTGCAACTCGTCCGTGTCGGGGTTGCAGCCGTAGACGGGCTGGAAGATGGCCATTGGGTCCGCGCGCTCCGTCATGAAGAGCTTGGTGGTATTATCGGTGATGAGGTACTGTAGAAGACTTTACGTCAGTCGACCGAAAGAAGTTGCATATGAGAATCAAAGCAAGAAAGATATCAATTCCTCTCAATTCGTCAAGATGTCCAAGTATCAAACGTACCTCGCCGTTGATGACGGCAAAAAGACCATCCTGCTCAATGATGCCCCCGGTGAGAACCAGATCAAAGGCGTAGGCGCCCGCCGGGCTGAGATAGAGATGCTGATCACCTCCACCCGACTCGTACAGATTCATGTAGCGGTTGTGGACAATGGGCCACTCGGGGTTCTGCACCACGATGCCGAAGCCCTCGGTGATGGTGTCGGAAAGGGGGGGCTCATCGGGGATTTCGCACGCCGACACGGCGACGGCAGCCATGAGGGCTGAGAGGAAAGGGCGCTGCATTGTCAAAGCCGTTCAGACCAAGCCAAAGACCAAAATAAAGAGGGGGTCTAATAGTGTGGTCAGAACGGGATCGATGGGGTTGCGAATCAATCCATCAAGATGACCTGAGTCGTCAATATCGACGACGAAGGACTCTTATGTAGTTTCGACCCTCGGCGAAGGACCCTGGGCCCCTCTTTCAGGGACCCCCAGCTCGGGCGATGTTCGTATGCGCCACTGCACCCCGGACCAGAAGAAGAGACCGAGAGGCTTCTTCAAACCTGGGGCTTTGAGCCTTTGACTAGTGGCTCGGGTCTAGGTCAGGGTCCATCTGCAGCACAATAATGAATTAATCTATGAAAACAATAGTTGGGGGCTTCTTCTTCAGCGCTGCAACCCTCTGTGAGTCTGTGCATAAAAGACTCGGTGACACAGCATGCTGGGCTGGGCTGCGCTGCCTAGGCCCTAGGCAGTGAAGCGCCGAGATGTTCAATCTTCACGTTCCGTTCGCAGGTAGCACCAGGAGAAGGGGTGCAGGGCTCAGGCTGTGCAGGAGACTCAATTCGCTCGAACCATCAGGCCGCGAACCCCTATCTACAGAAGACAACAAAAGCCAGGGCCCAGGACAACCCCGTCCCGTGGCCCTAAGCCTTGACTGACACCGCTTGGGACGGAGGTTTTCCCAAGTCGATCATTGGACCGACGCTCGCCCGTCGATCCAGGTCAACTGTCAGGGTTCAGGGTCCTCAGGAACCAAAAACGAAGAACGGGCTGATTCAGCTTCAGGGGTCTGGCAGCTTTGGCGTTTACTTCGTACTTCACTCTGGGTGCACGACCTGATGTGCAAGGTCCCGGGGTCGGTCCAGCGATGGATGCAGAAGCACTAGGGGAGTATTTTTATCTTTCTTTTTGAGCTGTTTTCTCTCTCCCAGGCGTTGCCGTGAGAAGACCGTTGAAAAGGAAAGTCCACGTCGTTCATGGTACGCTGCAGCACCTACAACGTATATCCCTGTCCCAGACTCCCATAACCTCGTATTCAACCGAAGGGCTGGTCTTGGCGAGGGGAAATACCACCATACACTACCACCCTCCCAAGTCTTTATTTTACATAGCTAACCACTGCAGAGTATCTGCGGATGAAGTCCCAAATAGGGTTGTATTACTGCATACTTCTCTGCAAGTCTCCAGTTGTGCGGGTTAGCGACTTGAGATGGTCTAATTACGGCCTGGCGCCGCTGCAACGTCGCTGACTCGCTGTAGGACATAGTCATATAGGTAGGGACTGCGCCACGATCACCCAGGGGTATCCGTGCTAGCTGCCTGTATGTCATCTGGACACTGGCGCATTTTGGACTCTAGCGCGTCTATCCCGTCTGTTGACGAGTCGGTGAGCCCTGACCTCGCTGAATGTTTCCCTTTCCAGAGGCAAAGAGAATGAGATTGGCCCATTCATAAACTCGCCCTCAGTCCTCTTGATGTTCATCAGCCGCCACCCCGCCAGTCAGGGTTCATCCGCTCCCAATCAACGAATGACCCATAGGGCTGCGGGCATGGTGCTCTGCTCCCTCGTCTCTGCCTCTGGTATACCCCTCAACGATTTGTATTTGGAATCTGAACTTGGGAAAAGGAAGCATAACATTGGCGCTTAGTCAAGTCATCCACCTGAAAACGGCATGCATGGGGAGTTGAATTGGAGGCTGGGCGCTTTGGGGGCTGCATGCCTAAGTTCTAACTGTCAGTCTGTCTTCCACGGTATGTTTGTTATCAAAGTGACACCTTGATGCTTCCTTCTCTTCCCACGAGGTAGTCCGTAACCGAAGTAGGCGACCTGAGCCCGTCGTCCTCGACGTGTGATTTCGTCTGGCTCTTCCCTACTCCCTGATAGTCTGTCTGCTCTTGCATCCGGAGCACAATTTTCAGGCCACAATGGAAGCTCTCGATTCTCCCAACAGGCCTGGTCGACGTCGCCACTTGGCCAAGGCAGAGGAGCGTTCGAACAGGAGGGTTTTCGAATGGGATGAGGGCCTGGCAGCTGCTCGTCTTGATGAACTGCTGGCGATGTAAGTTGTAACGACCAAAGTACAAAGTAATTATGTGGTGGTTGGTTGCTACATGTAAATTTTGGTGGAGCACTAGCCACACAGTGGCTGAGGATATAGCCACTAGATCACGTGTGTGAATTGATCCTCGATAAATCATTGCCCCGCTCCACAATACTTCATTATATGTCTTCCGCATAGAAGCATAATATGACTAATAAGACTCGGACGTCGCACCCAAGGGTCGTTGGTCCGTGGACGCCCCCTTCAACTTCAACCTTCCAACGTTAAACCTGGACCACTTGGAACCCGAACACCATTCGCCCGCTGCTACATCATCCCAGAGTCGAAAGTTGAAGCTTTTAAAGCTTTTTTATTGCCTTCATTCTGGCTCTTTCCTTCTACAGTCGGCTGTAGTCTGCATCGATCAATGATGTATTGACACCAGCCGTTGCAACTTGCGCCTCGGCCTCTTCGAATCTGAGACCCCTCGGCCAAGAGTCCAAGACGACGTTGAGTGAAGCGACCAAGGTCTAACACGATGGCATCAGCTGTGGTTCAGCAGCCAGGCTCCCTGAGCATCCCTGCAACCCCGGCCGACCACGACTACTTCGATCTTGGCTCCCATACGTTCCTGGTAACGACCCGCAGTGCCCATGCGCAAAGATGGTTTGACCGTGGTCTCATGTGGTGCTACGGCTTCAACCACGAAGAAGCCCTGTTCTGCTTTCAGCAGGCCGCATTACACGACCCTGACTGTGCCATGGCTTACTGGGGCATTGCCTACGCATTAGGGCCCAACTACAACAAGCCGTGGAGCAGCTTCGAGGACCGAGAGCTCCAGGATTCCGTCGAGCGTACTCATCGCGCCGCCGCCGATGCGAAACGATTAGCCGACCGGGCCACCGCTGCCGAGAGGGACCTCATCGAGGCGCTTTCCCGCCGTTATCCCCAACACCGCCCTGATCCCAACTTCAAAGTCTGGAACCGGACCTACGCCGACGCCATGGCCACCGTTTACGAGAAGCACCCGGACGACCCTGACGTGGCCACGCTCTACGCCGACTCCATGATGAACCTGACCCCCTGGAAACTCTGGGACATCCGCACGGGCAAAATAGCCGACAAAGCCCGCACCGCCGAGGTTCAGCGCGTACTCGACCGCGCCCTCGCCCAAGAAGGTGGCCGTCAACACCCGGGTGTCCTCCACCTGTACATCCACCTCATGGAAATGTCCCCCACCCCCGAAGCCGCCCTCACCACCGCCGACCACCTGCGCGGGCTCGTCCCGGACGCCGGCCACCTGCACCACATGCCGACCCACATCGACATCCTCTGCGGCGACTACCGCCGCGCCGTAGCCTCCAACTCGGACGCCATCCGCGCCGACGAGCGCTACCTCGCCCGCCGGGGCGGCCTCAACTTCTACACCCTCTACCGCGCCCACGACTACCACTTCCGCCTCTACGCCGCCATGCTGGCCGGCCTGTCCGCCGTGGCCCTCGACACCGTATCCCGCCTCGAGGCCACCACCCCGGAGGCCCTGCTCCGCATCGAGTCCCCCCCGATGGCCGACTACCTCGAGTGCTTCCTCGCCATGCGCGTGCACGCCCTGGTCCGCTTCGGCCGCTGGCCCGCCATCCTCGCCCTGCCGCTCCCGCACGACCAGCGCCTCTACTGCGTCACCACCGCCATGACCCACTACGCGAAAGCCCTCGCCCTCGCCTCGACGGGGAAACCCGACGACGCCGACCGGGAGCGCGCGCTGTTCCGGTCCGCCGTCCAGCTGGTCCCCCAGTCGCGCACGTTATTCAACAACTCCGCGCTGCACATCCTGGCCATCGCGGACGCCATGCTCGACGGGGAGCTGGAATACCGCCGCGGGAACTACGACGTCGCGTTCGACCACCTCCGCGCCGCGGTGGCACGGGACGACGCGCTCCCGTATGATGAGCCGTGGGGGTGGATGCAGCCCGCGCGCCACGCCCTGGGGGCCCTCCTCTTGGAGCGGGACCGGGTGGAGGAGGCGGCGGCTGTGTACAGCGCGGACTTGGGCCTGGATGCGACCTTGCCGCGGCAGCTTCGACATCCGAATAATGTGTGGGCGCTGCATGGGTACCATGAGTGTTTGGTGCGGCTTGGGCGGGTGCGGGAGGCGAGATTGCTGGAGCCGCAGCTGACTGTTGCGTTGGCTGTTGCTGATGTGCCGATCAAGGCGTCGTGTTACTGTCGGTTGTCGGTGCAGTGAGCACGAGGAGCTTTGCAGTGTGGTGTGCTGTTGAGCACAAGGCGAACATTACGGGAAGGTATACCTTAAGCTACGTTTCAGGGGGAAGGAAAATCGGACATGGGAGTCGAGCGTTGGAGTTCTTTTTTTCTTTTCTTTTCTTCTTTTCTTTACAACATCATCTTCATAATAGCATCGAATGCTGGGGTACGCTAGGAATCTGAAAAACAGTGGTATCCTGCTCATCCCACCTCACCGACTCATGGTATCATCTCGTTCATCTACGTCTGTTTCGTGCACAAAATCCCCTTCTGCAAACCGAAATCGCAACCCCCTTCCCCCCTCTCCCAAACTCGGTCCATCCCGTCCTTTGGTCCCCCCTCAGACCACCGTCTTTTCCTCAAACTCATTCTCCCCACGGCCCTGGTAGGTACTCTCAGGAAGCAGATTCAGCTCGTCCTCCTGCTTATCGACGCCGCGGAAGCAGAACCAAAAAGTGACGCCAGCAACGCCACTGATGCAAGCGACGCACGTGTACAGCCAGATGAGCAAAGGATCACGAGCCAGGCCGACAAAAGCGTTGGCGAGGGCGCTCGAGAAGGCGAGAACGAAGTAGTAGACACCGGTGACGAGGCCGCGCATGTTCTTGGGCGCCTTGGTGAAAGCGTACTCGAGACCGGTGATGGAGGCGAAAATCTCCGACAGCGCGATGAGGACGTAACAGGGCGTCTGGATCCAGACGGACATCTGCGGGGGCCCGTTCTCGCGAATGCACTCAATGTCGCTGGCGTTGTAGCCGCAGGGAGAGCGCTGGTAGATGAAGTGCTGGATGACGGCGGCGACGACCATGGAGAGGGTGGCGCAGGCGAAACCGATGGTGATCTTCTTGATCGGGGTGAGGCGGAAGCCGGTGCGGGCGACGGCCGGGTAGAGGAACTTGTCGCAGATGGGGATGAAGATGAGGAGAGCGAAGGGGTTGAGGTTGGTGATGATGTCGTTGGGCACGCCGTCGAGGCGCATGGCGGCGGCCTGGTTGATGAGGTTGTTGGTCATCTGGCCGTAGGCGAGCCAGAAGATGGGGAACCAGAAGAAGACGGTGCAGGCCATGAGGCCGCGGCGCACCTCGTCGACCCAGGCATCGTCGAAGGTCATCCAGGCGGGCTTCTGCTCGCCCGACGCCGTGACCTCGCTGGGGCGGATGCTCTGCCAGAAGCTGTCCTTCTTGATGTTGCCGAGGCCGTTGAGCCGGATGCCGTAGCCGATGAGGGCAAAAGACTTGCCGAGGACGGATCCGGTCGGGGCCCGCTTGGCGTAGCGGCTGCGCAGGGCCAGCATGATGGCCGGGCAGAGGAGGAAGAGGAGGGTGGGGATGAGGTAGCTCAGCCAGAAGCCGACGTACTTCTCGGCGTAGACCATGGAGACCTGGCCGACGAGGGCGCCGACGTTGATGAGGAAGTAGTAGCGCATGTAGACGCGGGAGATGGTCAGGATGGGGTCCACGATGACGCGCTCGCCGGTGGGGAGGGTCTTGACGGTCATGCGGGGGTGGACCATCTCGTACTGCTCGGCGATGAGGGGCGCGATGTTGGCCTTGAACCAGCCGACACCGGTGCCGAAGAAGATGAGGCCGATGATGAAGGAGGCCAGGGCGCCCGAGGTGTTGGAGATGACGCTGGGGATGGCGGCCACGATGAGGAGGACGTGGCCGAGGGTGGCAATCCAGATGGCGTACTGAATGGTCAGGAATCGGCCCCAGTAGGTGTCGGCCAAGTAGCCACCGAGCAAGGGCATCAGGTAGGACCAGAAGCTGTTGAAGAGAGTGAGGCCGGTCGACGTCTGTTGGCCGAGGCCCAGGGCGCCAGCCTGGCCATGGGTGCCGCTGGCGCCGGTGGTTGAACCGGGTGGCAGAGGGTAGGAGAGGTAGTTGACGACTAGGGTAGGTCAGACATTTTGTTCTTGAGCAGCTTCACTTCAAGGGGAGAGAAAAAAAGACGGGATGAGAAAGTTGAAACGTACAGACTGCGGTGGTACCGTAGTAGGCAAATCGCTCAACACTCTCGACAATACCGATGGAATAGATGAGCCAGTCGACCTTCCCGTGAACGCGTCGCAGGGTGGAAATCTCCTCATCGGTAGGATACTCCTCGCCGTTGGGGCCGGTGAGGGAGTTGGCCGAGGCACGAGCCTCGCTCAGGTCGCCCTTGTAAGCGACGGGTTTCTCAGGAGCCACGCCGACGCCTTTCTCGATAGCAGGAACGTCGCCACGAGCGGCCTCGACGAGGTCCACGTTGGCAGCGGTGGACATGATGGGCACGTCTGCGAGATTACAAGAAAGGGAGGGATGTGAATCGTGATGACTTGACTTGCTCAGGGGAAAGTTCTGGCTATCACCACGATCGACGCAGAATCCCGGAGGAAGGCTCCCAAGACAAAGGACGAAAAGGGAGGAAAAGAAAAGGACGCGAGCGGCATGGGAGGGATAGTGGAAGCTTGTATGTTTTATGGGAGATCTGATGCTGCAGTGCAGACATCTTCCCTGTCCGGCTCCCTACGTCCCCCCGGTGCAACTCCAGCATCTGTCGTCGGCCGAGGTGGGGTGGAGAGCTAAGAAATGGACGGGCCAAGGCCAGCTAGAAGGTTAGAAGGTAACATATTTCCTAACAAACCAACCTAGGACATGGAACAGGGGTAGCTTCCAAGCTCGGCTTAGGCAGGCGATGAAAGAACGAGAGCCTTGACTTGAGGACAGGGGGGAGTGTACCGACGGCTACTGGCTGCTGGCCCGCTCGTTGGTGTTGAGAGACAGGTGATCTAGCCTTCAGCCATGTCGGCCAGCATCGAATCGCGGTGAGGGGCATCCGAGAGTAACCATGAGGAGCCTTGGCATCTTAGAAGAGAAGCTGATAAGGAAACCGGGAGGGGGGCCTAGGTATGTGGTGTAGTCCTGTGAAAAGGCTGAAGAGACAGACAGACAGAGTGATACTGTACATCTCTTCTTCGAAGATAAGATCGCCCGTTAGTTGCACAGAGAAGAGGAGATGGAGGGGGAAATAGAGATGAAGCGGCAGACCAATGAAGGAAGGGAATGAAGCGAAAGGCGATCCCAGGGAGAGAGATATACAACGTACCAGCATGGAAGGGCTCAAAAGCAGGATGGATGGAACAGATGGGGCCCAAAAGAGGTTAAAATGGCCACTTGCCAAGAGCTCAGCGGGCGGTTTCCATACGATACGATAAGAGATGTCGAGATCAGATGCAACAATGCGTCTGTCTCTGTGGATGGAGGTGGTGGCACACTGGTGGGCTCGGAATTCAGTCGTTGGACATCGGCAGTTGTTTTTCCTCCCCCCGCATACTGCGCCGTGGTTTGGTTTTGCCTGGCTCCTTGGCTCTTTGGCAGTTCGCTCGGAACAGTGCCGAAAAGGGAAGGAGTTTAAAAAGATCTGACCCGTGCTGAGGAAGATGGTCGAGGGTGTGTTGGTGTGTTGGTGTTACCCTTGTGAAAGGGCACGAGGACGCCTGCACGAACTGAATAATGGCTGTCGATGATGTCCCTTGATGTGGCTTATCTCCGGATGTCCAGTGATTTAGGGAACAGGGAAGAAGAGGGAGGAGGAGATAGGACAAGTGTGGTGGTGGATGGATGGAAGATGGATCAAGGGGAAAACAAGAAGTACCGGGGTTCAAGTCAAGCTCACTTGGTCACTTGGCTCCCGCCGCCACTGAAGCCACTAAAAAGTTCAACCGTTCCAACTGCCGCCCCGCCCTGTGCCGTGCCACAGTGTCTCCACAGTACCCACATTCTCAGAAGGGAATAGCGTAAAGCCACAGTGGGGTTATACCGAGATATTGCCCGGTGCCTCTTGCCTTCTGTTTCTCGCCTGCCTGCCTTATGGCTTGTTATGTAATACAGTCCATCACTTATGACGTACTGTACCTTACCATATTTCACTGTAGCCGCCACCTAGCTTTCTATCTTTCCACTTTCCCCTGTCGAATAGACTATAGTCTTTTCGGTTACGTAATGGGCCGGATTGCTAAGAGTATAATCCGGGTAGACGCTTACAGAATCTGCACTATATAAAATACGGCGGTAGCGTTTCCTTGACGGTCTAAGACAGTTATAATTATATATAATTGTCTTAATTAATTTTTGACCTGTTTTATAACGATTTTAACTACGCTTTATTTAATAATTAAGAGTTCTACTTACTAAGTAAAGATATACCTATGTTTACCTACCCTTTTACTACTATTACCGATTTAAGAAGCTATCTAGCTACGCCGATATAGCATGTTAATCTATAAATAACTATTAAGATATCGCACCTTAGCCCTATTATGTATAAAACCTATAAGGATTAGAAGCTTTAGCGACGTCTATACGAATCGGTTACTACCTATAATAATGTGTAGAGGTTTCTCCGCCTAGTCGATCCGACTTAGTCCCCCGAGGAGCCTATAATACTATAACCGCGCAGATACAGTGTTAGAGTGGTTCGGTCGACGGTTATATGACCCCCCTTTTAAGGCCGCTGGATCCGCTGCCTATATATATATTAAGGACAGGCTCGGGATATCCCTATCGAGAGATTTAGATATAATCATTATCCTCTTTCATAATTACTTATTCTACGTTTAAGATATCTTTCTAGTTTAACTTACGTTACCCTAATTAGAATAGTGACTACCGATCTACTTCTTCGCTAAAGGTTATAGCGGTATTGGTTATGTTTTTAGTTATATATCGTGGTTTCGTTAGACTAACCTCTTTATCTAATCTTTGTCTTAACGATCTAGTGCTACTACGTCTTTATCCAGTTATAATATAGTGCTCGGAGGCGGATTTATTCGGCGTCCCTAAAGTATTCTAACTCTAATCAGAGTAATAGAGGCGCTCGAGGGAGGTTCCGGCCCTCCTAAACGGACTATTAGTTAATAACCCTAGAAAGAATATAAAGATCACGACTAAGGAAGGATTGAACGCTTTAAGACCGAGGGGAGATTTACCCTAATAAGATCAGGAAAAGAAATAACTGCTTAGGTAAGAGTTAAAGAACTATTAATACTTTTAATTATAAGACCCGCCGCCACGGAGGTAGTAATTATAGGAACGGAAGAAACTGATTAGATCGCGATAGAGTTAGATTCCAGATATAGAATAGACTCGATAGGGGGCTTATAACCCTTACTACTAACTAAGATAGACCCTTATATAATGGCGAAGAAAAGATAAGACCGCCGAGAGTAGCTTACCTAGATTAACCCTAGTAGATCTAATAAAAAGCTAATACCGAGCGTAGAAGCGAAATAACAATACCTTATAAGAGGACCCGATAGTCTAGTAAGGACCTTTATAGACTCTATAAGTAAGTCGTGATACTTTTTTATAAGACTTAGCGGGTAGTGCTTTTAATATTAATATCCGTGAGTATAGTCCTTTTACTAATAGGTAATCTCCTAATTATAGGGGGCCTTTTCCTTTAAGATGAGTTAGAAAAGCTAGACCCCAAAGATAAGTATTAAGGAGTGAAACCTAGGACCGCCCTCTTATTAAAGACCTTATTACTCTTATTAAGACGAGATAATATATATAATAACCTAGCTAGTATCTAGAATACCTCTAGATTCTTCTCGCTAGACGATTAATTCGAAGAACCTTTCCCTAAATACCCTAAGCGCCCTAACCCTGTTATTATTATTCGCCTACCCCCTCGCACTTACACCTAAAATATTATAGATACTTAGACTTAGTATCGGGAGCCTACCCCTATTATTATTATTAGCGACTCCGACGATAAGGCTCCCTCGCCGGCTATTCCCCCTATTCTTACGCCTACTACTTCTACTACCCCTAATTAGGGGAACTATAATATTAGGGCTATAGCCTTACCTCCGCCCATTTCTGGGCCGACTACTATATCTACCGCGGCTCCGGCTACTATTTCGATAACTGCCCCTAATACTACCCCTATTACTACCCCTGCCTAGCCCGCTTCGAACGCTTCTCCTACTACCGCTAAAGACCTAATTAAGCTACTATAAGCCCTGATAAGCCGTGACCGAGAGAGCACTATTACCGAGGTCGTTTAAGCCCTACCCCCTACTACTACTACGTTAAGAGTACCCCTGAATCCCCTCGCTACTAGAGCTCCCCGCTTTAGTGGTAAGTCCCTCTTTATATTCCTTTAGTAGTATAATAACTATACTAAGCTTAACCGCCTTAGTAAAGCCGATAAGATCACCTACGTTAACCTATACACGGATACGGCTATTCGTCCCGCTATCGAATACCTAGTCAGAGAGGTTTAAGCTGATAAAGGCGGTTAGTTTAATCTAGTTAAGAAGCTCGTTAAAGAGTTCTCTTATCTGGATCCTAACTACTAACTTAATTTCTCTTACGAGGTTTATTAGCTTCGGATAAAGTATAAGACGTATAAGATTAATAGCCTTTATTAGGTTAGGGATTTACTATAGTAAATCACTATCTAGAAGGCTAAGGCTAAGCGGGTTTAAGGCACTTTTATCGAAGACTCCAAGCTCTACGGTATTATCCTTACTATTCTGTATAGGGATATCTATATATTTATCGCTAATAAGCTTAAGATTTAAGGCACTGACTTAAGAAAGATAGTTAAGAGCTATAAGCTACTTTTAGACCTGCTACGCGAGTAGTCTACGGATATCTAGGAAGTAGAGGGTAAGCCTATAGATAGGGACGCTATGCTAGGTATAGCTAAGTCTAATTAGCCTAATAGTACCGCTTTCTAGCCCACGATCTTAAGGCGGCCTACTATAGTCTAGGAGTCTATAGCCTCTTAATCGGATATAGATAAGCCCGCCGATATCCTTAAGAAGTATGCTATTTCCCTTATCTATAATAGAGCTAAAGGCGTTAGGGGTATAGCCGCCTAAGTGCTCGCCCTATCTAAGAGGATAGGCACGGAGAAGGTCTAAGCCCTCCTCGCCACGAAGTCTAATCTGAAGAACGCCTTTTATACCGTCCTTAAGCACGCCCCTTAGCCTACGATAACTACTTTAGTGTATTTCGCCACCTCTAATCAGGCTAACGGTGCTGTTTCCTAGCCTAATAACGCCTAATACACCGAGGAGATCTATTACGGAGGACCCTGCCCTAGATATAATAACCGGCGTAATAATAGCCGCCCGACCTAATAACACGATAACCGCCTAGGATAGCAGAGAGGTGCCTAGAATAATAGCTAGCCCCTACTAGCTCTCTATTACTACTACGGCTAAAAAGGGTATTAGAGAGATAACTACCTTATCCTAATCCACGATAGCGCCTATAATCTAATTAAATAGGAGTTCCCCGCGTATTTAGTTATAGATTAGACCGGTACCTAGGCAGCCTGCCTAAAGAGCGAGCTATAGGTTAATAAGTACTAGCTACACCGACGCCATATACTGTATTAGCTAGCTACTAAGCTCTATAGCCGATTTAAGGAACTCGTAGACCTCTATATTAAGACCTTCTAGCCCGCTACCCTCCCCTATAAGACTAATAAAACTAATAGACTTATAATTAAGTATACAGTTAAGCAGGTATAGAAGTAGTAGACCGATTAGCGTAGTCAGACCACCTAAGCCGCTTAAGCCTTAAGGGTTACTAAGGTCACGGGATCTATTAACTTTATTACTACTAGAGTGTATACTATGTCTATATCTCGACACACTTTAACCGACCCCTAGGACCCTTTTCGTACTATTAGGAGCGGTAGAATTAGTAAACCCACGCTAAAAGTAGCTGATTTCTTTAATTAGGCCGTTTAATAGACCCTAATAACTCTAGACAGCTCCTAAAGGGTTATAGAGATAGTTAATAACACCGATATAGACGACGGTCTAACCCCTGATTCGATAACCCCTATATTTAGACCCACTACTACCTTAACTATTACTCGGCCTATCTTACGAGCCTCGGCTTAGAAGGATACCCTTAATTTATTTAACTAGGAGGCTACTATAGAAGGTCCGAGAAAAGAGCCTAAAGCACCTTTTAGAGATAGAGGTTAAGGTTCCTATAGTTTACCTTCTCTCCACTAATAAAGCTATCCTCGCGGACTATAAAGAGACGCTAAGGTTAATCGGTAGCCAGGTAAAGCCTTGTAAAGTTATCCGCTTAACCCCTAAAGAGGCCTTTTTCACGGACTCCTTACCCCTAGGACCCGAATATCCTATATAGTTTACGAATACCACGAC